ATCCAAATTTATAATTAAAATCAATATTTTATATTTATTATTTGATAATATTTATTTTTTTGTAACTTATCCAACTTCAAATAAGAATGAGAAAAATGTACATATAAATGGATTGAACTAACATTTTTTTTCTATACGAATTTTTGACAATTTATGGTTTATAGTTTTAATATTTAGTAAAACAATATACAACACAGAAAAAGAAATTTCAGAGGAGCTATATAGGCATTTTAGGTCGTTGCAGTTTTGGTCATCATATACTTAATGGACTATTAGTGACTGCAGTCAAAAGTGCATAACATGAATAACCTCTATATCACTTGTTGGAATGTTACCGCCTGGCTACTTTGGTAATTTACTAAGTAAACGATGAACTAAACTCCATTTAACTGCTAAAATGCCTATAATAGTCCACTGTAAATCACTGCAACAATGTTTGCTGAGAAAGTTTCAATATGTAGTTATTTATTTATTGACATATATTTTCAGGGTTCTCAATCCTCCTTAAAAACCTTAAATATTTACAGAAATAAAATCCTCTTAGAAGTTCTTAACCTTAATTAACCTTAAAGTTAACCTCAAATAAAATTAACCTTAAATGTCCTTAAAATTTGATTGCTTCCCTTAATTTACTTTTGAATAAATTTTATTTTACTTATTAATTAAAAAATTATTTATTAACATATATACTTATTGGTCAAATACATGTTTGTATTTAGTAATATTATGCTTAATTTTTGTTTTGTATTTCAAAAACTCACTTTGCATTTATATGTATTTAAATATGCATTTAAAAATCTAGAACTGAAGTGTTGGAATTTTTTATATTTAATTTTGTATTAAATTTAAGAAATTTTCTTTGATAAAATGTAATTTTTTTTTGTCTTGTTTTTTATTACATTTAAAAATATCACGTTAATGTTTTATAAAATTTACAAGCTAAAATAAAAAAAATATACAATTACAAGTGAAAGTATTTAATATATATATAACGTATATATTACGTAGTAAATAAAAAAATGTTATGCAATAATAAAAGAATAACAATATTTAAATTAAAAAAACTGCAAAAAAAATAAATATATATTTATTTATATAATATATTTAACGCTAAGCTTGATTTTTATTTTTGTCTTTGTTTTTAAAAAATAGAACAATGTTTTTGGCTATAGTTTATTTTATGGAATGGTTAATGTAATGTAGTTTGTTTTATAATTAAATAAAAATTTCTGTTATGTATCTAACACTTTTTTTTTTTTTGAGTTTTTTGAGAATTAAAGAATGATGGAATATAAAAAACGTTTAAAGTTGAAAATAGTATTAATCTTTACTAGTGTGATTCTAAAACTGAGTTTCTTGAATGTGATCAATCACTTTTCAAAACAAATGTTGCAAAAAAAAATCGTATATTTTTTTATTATGTTTAAATGTTTAGTTTTCTCTATAAGGGTATATTACAATCATAAGTTGCATAAAAAATTTTGATCTGTAATTATATATATGTTGCACACTTTACACACACAATATTATTGAATTGATTTAAACACTAATGAAATATCCCAATATAACTTACATTAAAATATCACTTATACAGTGTTATCTTTTGAACTTAGAAATAGAATTTATTATATTTTGGTGGCTCATCATGCAGTGCAGTTGAGAAGAGCACGCTTACAAAGTAAGAATAATTTATCTATAAAAAGAGCATCTTTAGTACCATCATTTTATATATGTGTGTGAGCGTGAGATATGTGTTTGTGTTTGTGTGTTTGTGTGCGTGTGTGTGTTCGTCACAAAGTGTATTATAAGTGTTCTCTTTATTCCTTATTTCTGTTAACCTGATTCCTACAGCGATATTGAACTTTAAAATGTTGTTGAAAATATTCGAAAGCGCGCACCAGATCTAAAAGAAGGTGAATGACGTAAAGTCTTCGAACCGTCGATTCTTGGAATTGAATAAGTGGTTAAAAAAGTTTTAAAAAATTATAATTTATAAAACTTAGCTCAAAAATATTATTAAAAAATTTAAGCTAATACTTATTTTTAACTTAATCTCAAAAAAATTTTTTGAAAATATAAATTTTAATTTTACGATAGAGTAAAGTCATGAAAAGCACGTATTTTAAACGTCGAAATGAGGACGGATAAATTAGGTTATTTGAAAACATGATTTGGCGTTTCCATTTAGCACTAGTTCTAAACGTTCTAAATTCACGTCTTTTAGACGTTTCAAAAACACGTCTTTATTCTGTCCTAAAAAGACGTCATTTGGCGTTGCCATTTGGAACCAGTTCCGGATGTCCTAAAAAGACGTCCATTCGACGTCATATGGACGTTGCCGTGTTCACTAGGAGCTTTAAGCTAGTCGTAAGAAGTACACGCAAAGAGGGATTCAGATGATAAAAAAGAATGACATAGTTGTTTTAGAGAGATGAAACCGTGATCAGAAGCATCTAAGGGTGAAGGTAAAGAAACTGAGCACTAACAAAGATCAGAAACAAGACATAAGTTGTGTAAAGAAGGTAAATGATTTAGATTGTGTGGAAAGCGAGTTGGAAAGTTGGCTATTTGGGTAAGGGATTGAGAAGGGCAAAAGTTGTGGGCTATAATACCTGCAGAGTCACTGACACTAGAGCCAAGCCATTTAGTGCAATGAGCATTGAAGTCACCAACAACAACATTGGCTGATGTATAAAAAAAGAGAGGACTTGGTCAATTTGATCAAAAATAACATCAAAAAGAGTAAAGTCTTGAGAAAAAGGAGACCGACATAAAACAAAAAAAAAGGCAATTCAGTAAAGTGGTGCTAAACGAAAGCATATAAAAGAATACTCTGGATTCAAACCTAGTTTCCCGACAAATGGGTAAGTTTTTATGAATATAAATGCTCAGGTCAAGCATGTGACTATTGGAGTCTCTACAAATTAAAGGAAGACAACCATCAACACTAAGATAACAAGATGAGACAGCTGAACTCATATTAGTGTCACAAGGAGCAAGTAGTTATAGTGAACTTTTGAAGAGATAAGACTTAACAAAAGAAAAGCTACTTTGAAGACCACAAATACTAGTGATTGATAGGTCTAGATTGGTGACGTCGTTTTTTGTGTTTTAAAATTTTTAGTACTTTATTCATTTTCAAATTTTTTGAAAAACTTGACTCAAAGCAAAGGCAGTGCTCAGTATACTATTCAACAGCCCAAACAATTGCCTCATTTTTATTAATAAACCAAGAGCTGTAACAAATAGCTCCAAATGTGGTCTTGACAGTTCACACTAAAAATACAAACACGCACACCGTGTATGCGCGATATGGCACTGTTAGTATTGAGATATTTTTCAGCTGTTGATGGAATCAGCCGCTCTGAGAGCCACCACAGAGTTCTGGAAACCAGACTACCAGCCGGCCTCAGAACCATAAAACTGAATTTTAAAGCTGTAATTTCATTAGGAAATTATAGAATGAGTTGCTTATTCATAAAAAACAGAGACACAAGCAAAACACATGCATTAAGTCAAGATGATCCAGCATTCAACATCCTAAACTGGAAACAATGTATTATAAACACATCTGCATCAGGCTAATAGATGAGGAAGGGGTGCGAGGTTGGTCAACAAATAGAATCTGCTTATCCCTAACGTCTTTGCTCAGAAGGTCTTCTACAAGACAGTAGCCAGAAGCATTTAGCATCTGCCCAAGTCTAGTCTTTACTCAACGAATAGCCCCAAGGTAGCGAGTGTTTTATTTCGAAGTTGGCTTTTTCTAGCCTTTGCCAAAAAAAGCATTTCCTAGGAAGCTACAAGTAGTAGGATAATCAACACCTATTTTTCCACACCTTTAAATATGCTTCGAAAAAACCTAAAAACTGCATTGCAAATTGTTTTAGATTGTTTATCACTGTTTCTTTGGTAGACCATCTGAGTAATGAACTTACCATAATGTTTGATAATAAATTTTTATAAAACACCTGTGTTTTAGTTTCTTCGTTCCTTAGTTTTTAGTCTTTAGTTTTAGCACCTTTAGTTTCTTCAAAAACAATTTGCCTATAAGTGCCTTATAAGTACCTTTTATAAAACCAATAGCTTTATAAGTCTTATTTATTATTGCTAAATCAAAGCTTTAAATACGTGAGTTTAAACTGTAGGAAACTTAGTTCAACTTGACTTAATTGGCTGAACTACCAAAAGTTTCAATAATTTTCAATTAAAAACTCCAATCTAATTATACTGAAACATTACAAGCGACAAACTTTTTCTTTACTGAGGCACCTAAAATGTTATAAGTGAATGGTAAGAAGAAGTTTCAAAGCAAAATTGTAGAAAAAGTCTAAATAGTTTAGTTCAGCTTTCATTCAGAGTTGTCTATAACAAAGATGTTTTAAACAAGTTTGTTATAAAAACTTATGAGTTGTGTTTTAAATAAAATTAAAGTATAATAAAAGTGTGATTTCAAAAAATGTCTTGCTATCTATTGTTAAACAGCTGTTTTTATAGCAAGACATCTTTTTAAAATATATTTAGCATTTTAGAGTTACTACAGTTACTTTTTTGACTCTTGGTAAGAAATAAAATGTTTATTTATAATTAATATATATATGTATATATATATATATATATATATATATATATGTATATATTTATATATATATATATATATATATATATATATATATATATATATATATATATATATATATATATATATATATATATATATATATATATATTACCAACAAATATGGGTACCACATGGGCTCCAAATGGTATTTAATACGGGACCCATATAGGCAACCCATTACTAGCCAAACAGGAGATGCAAATGGGTTTCCTACGGGTTCAATACGGGCTTCCCACTGGAAATTCATAAGATGTTGAATTGTTATATTTACAAGAAAAAATAATGAGCTCAATACAATAACTAAACTAACGGTGTAACTTTACACATGTTAACAGTAAATGAAAACATTAAATACAGTCATTTATTAGATAAATGTAAAACTACTTTTCTTTTTTGAAGTCCAATGTTGCTGCTCATCAAACCATCAGATTCACAATGGCTCAATTCGACATCACTTCTACAACTGCAAAAGAAGTTATATATAATACATTGTAATACAAGAGTAGATTGAAACCATAGATATTGTTATTATATACACATGATATGGTATTGGTTAATGATAAATACAAATGAACAAAAGTTAGACGTATTTAACACAAGAACAAGTAAAACATTTTGCATTACCAGTAGGCCTAGGTAAAGCCCCGAAAAGTTATTACTTAGTGGTAACAAACATAATGTTACTTACAGATTCAGTAAACTTTAAAGCTCTTTGTAAATGAAAGATGGAGGAAATTTTTGTACTTGAGAAACACATAAAGCATCGGTTTTTCTTTTTTCGTGCGCAATTTTTTTTTTACTTTTTAAAATAAATAAAAAATTAGGATAGTTAACATCATTATGCCTTATTAAGGATACTGTAGTAATAAAAGATAAAAACTTTGTTAAAAATAAAACTCTTTATAAAATTAGATAACACCTTTGTAAAATCTGATTGTATTTTTTTTCTTTACTCTTAGAGAAACTAATTATTTTGCATCTAAAAGTTTTATAAATATATACGCATATATACAAAGATATAAAATTATTTATTAAAAAATAAAACTCCATAACTAAACTTACCTTTAAGCAGATTTTTAATGCATTTTTTTCTGTTATATCCAGGTTGAATGTGTCCTCAGCTCTTTTAGTCTTTGACCAAGCATCAGTAAGACTGTCTATGAAGAAATTGAAAATCAATACATAACAACATCATTAATTAACATTCAAGACAGATGATGTACCTGGGTAGTAGCTGCATTACATTTTGCAATAAAATATTAACAAAATATAATTATAAAAGCATAGCGTTAATTTTGCCTGCAATTCCGAGTATTCTAGCAGTAAATAAAGGCCAACGCACATGCGGATCTGGATGTGCATTGGTATTTATTTATTATTGGATTTAAATTTTTCCCATTTAGCCAATAAACTTTAAAGTTTTCTTCATAAACAAAGTAGTGGTTGTTACACAATAATTTAGTCATAAAAATGCAAATAGCTACAGAGAGAGACAAAAAATTGGAATATAAAGAATCAGAAAGAATAACTTTTGAAACAACAAAACCAGTGTATAACAATAACTGTTGCAGTTCTGTAGCTTTCCATCGCTTGAATCCTAAAATAGATCGAGGCCTTTGTAAACACTCTCTAGGAATATAAACTCGTAGAGTAAAAAGTTTTTTAAATATAGCATCAATTGTTGATTTTGATAACTTATGCTCACATCAACCATAAACTAATTGGTTTTTATACCTCCAAAATGTTCCTAAAATACTGAATGCATGCTATGAATTGGAAAACCACTAACTAAACCAATATTTAGTTTCTCAATAGACAATTTATGCGTACCATCACAATGATTTTTTATCTGTTTTGTATTTAAAGTTGATGTCTGATCTTAGATGAGCGGCTAAATTGGACATAAAAACTTTACCTAACCCTTCACCTGTTTGAAAGCAACGTTCGCAAGAGTTATATTTATTGTGTGGTTTAATTTACTTTTTAAATGCTCTCTCAAGTGCATCATAAATGAAAACATCCAATTTTATTATATAGTTTTTCCCAGTTTCCAGATAAACAAAATCTGTCAACTCTAATGTTTACATTTTAGCAACAAAACTAATTTTAATTAACCGTGAAATTAGTTAGGCTTGGTTTTACCAAAATATTGTAAAATTAGAATAGGACAACATTTTGCATCTTGAAAAGAATAAAGAATTGGCCACAGCCTAGCAGTTGAGCTATTAAATATTGGCACTCCATCAATGTTAATATGCAGATACCAACTATTAATTTCAACTTTAATTGGGTACCATTCCATTAAAATTGAAAGCCAACTTTTCAATCCAGAATAGAAATATTCTCCTAATGCATAATTTTGTATGCTAATGTTTCGTTCAGTTTGCAACAAAGTTCTTGCATTCTTCAAAGTTCTTGCAAAAAAGAAGTTATTGACTCAATAATGAAGGTAAATCTATACATACATTGTGTGAAATGTTATATTTTAAAGCCCATGTTTTTACTTGATCATAAAAACAATCAGTATTAATAATGGAATCTGTAATGTCATTTTTATCATGACTTGGTAATCAAACTCACAATTGTAAATAAATTCATTATTAAATTTAGCATCTGCATCACATAAGCATATATTAGTTTGAGTTAAATGACAATCGCAGGTTATTAGCTTGTTTGTTTTTTATAATTAAAATTTATTTTTACTTAGTTTAGCGTTGTGATCTTCTTTAAAAAAAACCAGAGAAGTAATTATCTTAACTAAAGGCGATGGGGACGGGTTTAGCATTTCATATAAATTCAACAAAGGCATTTGCATACATCTACACACTGACATAAATCACAGTAAAAACACTTATCTAAGTTTTTTCAACAGCATGTTTCTC